AGGTGGTATCCTTAGCAAAACACAGGTGTTGCTGCAGTAAAATATCCAATGTGACTTATCGTATCAATCAAATCCAGTTCTAAAGTCTAACCGCAGTCAGCTTTTACCAGGTATCACAATCCTAAGAGGACAGTACGAATATTATCCCCATTTTACAGACGAGAAAACAGAATCTGAAAGGGAAAGCAGCTTACGGGAGGACCCACAGCTACTAAGTGGCAGAGCTGGGACTGGGACCTGGGCCTGCCTGATTCCGGAATCTGTGTTCTTTGCCACTGCTCCCTACCTCCTCCCCTACCGCCTTCCCCACTGACTCCCTGGCCCCCAGCAGGAACGCACAGCACTGCTCAGGCAAGCAGAGCAAGGACGCTAAGCTGTCTTACCTTGCTGGACAGGTCTCCAGCACCAATGCTCCCTGGAGCCCCCCTAACCACTAATCAAGAAAGGCCTTGATGTACGTAAGCAGCACATTTTGGTGAAGGCACTAGCGTCACTTTCCACCTGGAACACGTAGTTCCCAAAGCCTGTCTGAGTGTCCCAGGGTTTAGCAAAGATGAGCCAACACTCAGGGGTAGAGACGACCTTAGGTTCAGCCACAGGCCTGCCCAGATGAACTGCTCACTCAAGCTTTGCATCGGAGCTGCAGGTTTCCAGGGCGCACTCCACACCGGGCCCTACAATGCCACCCTGTCCTCCTGGCACACCGGCCTGGCAGGGAGCTGGCAGCAGCCTCCTCACCTCTGGTCCGTGGCAGACAGAGCTCATTGTTTTGTTTTGTTTTGTTTTGTTTTGTTCTCTCTCTCTCTCTCTCTCTCTCTCTCTCTCTCTCTCTCTCTCTCTCTCATAGCATTACCTGTTCGCTTCTGCCAGGCCAAGGCACTAAGAGGCTGCGCAGCCGTTTCGATAGCATTTTCTGCAGGCTGCCTGGCAAGCCCACGGAGGCCTAAGAGTGTGCGTGTCTCTGAAGGGAGTGGACCCTGCACGTGCAAAGTCTTTCCTGTGATAAGCCCAGGCCTTGGGCGCACTGGACAGGGCATCTCCTCTCCCCTTGTCCCCTCCACCCCAGACACACTGGCTTCCTGCCGCTACTCAAATGAGCCAGGTGCATGTCCTCCTGCTGGCTTTTTTTTTTTTTTAATCTGCACCTGAGGAGGATATGTTATTTATTGATATTAGAGACAAAAGGGGGGGGGGAGAGAGAGAAGAAACATCGATCAGATCGGCCACCTCCCACACACGCCCCGACAGGGGTCGAACCCAAAACCTAGATATGTGTGCCCTGACTAGGAATGGAACCACAGACCTTTGGAGTTCAGGACGATGATACTCCAACCAAAGGAGCCAACAGCCAGGGCCTCCTGCTGGCTTTTTGCAAGTACTGCTCTCACTCCTTGGAACACTGTTCCCCAGGTACCATCTTGTTCCTTCTTTTCCCTTCCTCAGGTCTTTGCTCAAATGCCACCTTTTCAGTGAGGCCTTCCTGACCACCATTTAAAATTGCAACCTCCACTCCAGCATTCCCTTCCCTGTTCTGCCATATTTTCCCCCATAGCGTCTACTCCCATCTGATATACTACCTATTTCCTGTATTTGTCCATCTCCCTCCCCAGGGGTGTGCTAGAGGGGAGGGAGTTTGCCTTTTCTAGGTCTGTCTCTGCAGTGCCTAGAACAGAGCCTGACATGGACTGAGTGCAACCAATATCTTAGAAGGAGCAATGCAGACACCAAGGGAGATTTTGTCAGAGACCAGCTGGGACTTCTCAAGCCAGCTCAAAGGTGACACCAGCCAGTCTAGGAGAAACCAGTAAGGACCTGTCAACATGCCACATGGAGACAGCTGCACCAAGACACAATCCATGCCTCCCCCACGTGTGCACAAAACCGCACTGCGGGTACCTGCAGGTGCTGGCCCATTCTGCCAGACCTCGTGGGCCAGCTTCTTGGGAGGCCCTCTGAAGTCTGGGTGGGCGACCCCGCTGGCTGGAACATAAGGAAGGCATCTCAGACGTTGAGTGAGAATGGTGGATGTCGGTTCTGGAACAAACTGTCATTCCCCAGGAACGCTGAAGAGGGGATGTCAAATGCATGGTAAAGGATGAAGCCCCGACAGGGCCTGGTCTGGGCAGGTGCCAGGAGAATTGGCCACACATGCCTTGAACCCAGCTCTTGTCCAGGCTCACATAACAGCACTGTTCCTCTCCCTGGTCCATAGCTTCCTCCCCACCCACCTGGGCCATGATGACGGGCTTCACATCCAAGCTGACAGAAGCCCTCTGCCCTGTGGTCACTCCATACAAAGAACAGATGCCTGGTCAGGGGTGGAGGGGTGGTAGGCAGTTTCTCCCAGCGCATTGCTCATTCTGCCCACTACAAACCAGATCTCTTTCCCAAGCTGAAGGCAGCAGAGTGGGAACAAAACCACAAGTGTTAAAAGCACAGCGGTGTCAGACAACTTGGTTTTGAATTCCAGCTCTGCCACCAAGTAGATGGATAATCCCGGGCCATCTCTTTACCTCTCTGACCCTTAGTTTCCTTATCTGTAAAATGGGCTAACAACCATATCAGCTTTGTTGGGTAGTTGTGAGAATTAAGCAGAATTCCTACATGCAAGCCCAGTTCCTGGCAGGTGGTAAGTGTTCCATACATGTTAGATCTTGTTGCTGCTGTTGTTATAAAATAAAGGAAGAGAGGGAGGAAGTCAACCCCTAGCTACCTGCTCCCAACGGCTGAAGACCTCCAAGGTTATGAGTCCCGAGGCAGGTGAAATTGCTGGTAATTAAGGTACTAGAAAGGCAGCCTTTCTCCTTTGGGCTTCAGAACTGTGCAGGCTCAAGAAAAACCAGCCTGAAAGGAAACTTCTCAGTGACCATGGGAATTATTCCAAAGAGGGGCTGTCGGGGCTAAAAGGCTAAAAGTATGACTCTGGAGGGGGAGGAGAAGAGACCCCAAAGCCACCAAATCCCAGAGTTTATAATTAGTAGCCCAGCATCCTCTGTGCCTGCACGAGGGCCTGCCTGGCTCAGGGGGAAGGGCACACATAGTCATACAAAAACAACCCCCCAGTGGGTTTTTGAAGTGCTGAGCCTCTTTGTTTGTCTGAATTTTAATGAGGGGCCAGGCAGGATGAGAGCTGCACTCACTCCCTGGCCAGGAGTGGGCTTCGTTAGCTGCCAGGCTGCACCGGCCTGATCCAAAGCGGCATCTAGGAGGGGCGGGACCTCAGATGAGATGTCTTGGGGAGGAAGAGAGAAAAACAAAAACTAAAGATGCCTGTTTAGAAGAAGGCTCGGGCTCTGCTCCAGATCTCAGCGCATGTTGGAAACAGGCGGGGACGCTGCGTGGGGGAGCCATAGAGACAAGCAGCTTGTGTGTCTGAAAGGGCAGAGGGAGGCCGGGCTCCCTAAGAGAGCGTTTCTGTGGAAGGCTCAGGGCTGCCACGCTGGCCCCTGCTTCCGAGAACCAGGAACGAGGCTCTGGGAAGCTGTGGCAGAAGGAAACATGCTTTGGGAGCCCCAGGCACAGGTTGCGGGAACATGGTGAAAGGGGAGTGCTATCAGAAAAGCCCCCAAACCCCGATGTGAGGAAGGGGTCACCTTTTCACACCCACTTCCTGCTGTGTCTTCAGCTAAGCCACCTAAAAGCACGAAGGAGACAGTGCAACTTCACTGACTCAAGGGAAAGTCCGCAGTAAGAAAGGCATCCTGCCAGGCCACCCGGCAGACAGCTGCTTGCAACCCCCATACCCAGGCCCAGGTGCTTACAGGTAGATGCTCCAGGGAACTGCTGTGGCCTCTGTGACTGAGCAACTTCAAGGAGGAGTGCCATTCCTTCGCTCCCTGATCTAGCTTTCCCTCATGCTCTCCCACAGTGGGCAGAGCTCCCATAGATTGTTTAAAAGCTGCTTCCTTCATCTCCATGAGTCTTTCCAAGAGGGCGCTGCAAAGAAATGGGAGAGACAGCCACAGAAAAAAACAATTTAGCCCTGGACGGTTGTTCAGTGGTTAGAGCATCGGCCTGCGGCCCGAAGGGTCGTGGGTTCGATTCCCTGCCAAGGGTACATACCTCGGTTTCAGGTTCCTCGGCCCCTATGGGGGCGTGTAAGGGAGGCAACCAATTGATGTGTCTCTCTCATGTTAATGTTTCTCTCTTTCTCTCTCTCCCCACTTCCCTTCCTTCTATTTTCCCTAGAAATCAATGGAAAAAATATCCTCTGGTGAGGATTTAAAGAAAAAAGCAATTTATTACAACTGAAAATATCAATGCAGTCTCCTGAAAGTAAGTATTTTTATTACAAAATATTCCATATGAAAATTCTAAGCTCCTTGCAAGCTTTTTTAGTTTTAGGCTTATTGCATTTTTTTAAAAGTCCAAAGCAGAGGTTATTCTGTGCAGAGAGCGGTCTGTTGTCCCCAAGGGCTCAGGTGTGTGCAGACTGTCCCTCGGGGCCTCCTCCGCTGCCTGCAGCAGGTCTCACTCGGTGAGAAGCTCTGAGGACACCTCAGTGTACAGACGGTCCCAGTCCCAGCCGACGTCGTCCTGCCGAGAGAGGTACTGCTAACTTTCTTGGGACAAAGGGAGGCCTTTCCCTGCAACCGTAGCCCACCGCCCAAGCCCAGAAGCCAGGGAGGCCGGGGTCAGCCTGGGAAGCCAGCTGGTTAGAGGAGCCAGCGGCTGAGGGAGCAGGAAGCTGCTACTGCTACGTACTTCCCGAACTTCCTGCTCTGGCGCGAGCACTTTGGTGAGGAGCTTCAAGTCGATCGTTCCATCCTGTAAATGCAAATATATATATATAGATAGATATAGATATAGATGTGCATTTCGAGGAGCCTTCAGATAATTAACTCTTGTAAAGTGAGGAGGATCAGGTTGTGTGGGGTAGACTTCCCAAACCCAGAGCTGCAGGAATGCTTTCTGAAAGAGTAAGAATGTGAGTGCACACAGCCACTGAGAGGACGCCACAATACCCCCAGGCTGGGCATTCTCTGGGGGAAGGTCAACATCAGGAGGGCAAGGCATGGCAGCAGCCTTTCTCTAGGGCCTGTGTATCTATTGACCCCAAGTGGGCAGCCATGGAAGCAGGTGGGACTGTGTTGGGAAACACTGCAATATGCAGCCCGGAGATGCTGCAATACCCAAGGACTGTTGCCAGGCAACCTCAGAGGCGCATGGGGGAGATGAGAAATCCCTGGGGATGTTGCCCGGAGCCCTCCCCTCTATGCAGGAGCCGCTCTACTCACCAGGGTCTGAAAGGCTGCGCACTTCATGAGGTCATTGTCCAGGTCACGGTAGGTCATCACCCGGTTTACTTGGACACTGCAGCAGAGAGAATGTGAGGAAACCACAGGCAGGACCAGTTCCAGGAGTGCTGCTGGGCCACCGTCCCAGAGCCTCCTAGGCAGCTAGGGAAGACCAATCTGGGAAGAAAGTGTCTAATAAAATGGGAACCCTGGGAGGGAGCCCCCCACCAGCAGCTGGGTCTGCACTGGGGGGCAGCACCACTGTGGATGGCACTTGAAGTGTATTAGCTCGCATGTTCCCTGCCTCCCTACAGCTTCCGACCTAATTTAACATACCTGGGCGGGGCTGCCACCTGCAAAACGAAGTCTTCTTCCTGTACTTCTTCCAGATCCGGAATAACAGGAATATCTGCAATGAGAGGAGGCGGCAAAACGGTCAGCAACATGAAGAGGGGTCTTGCCTGCTTCCTCATGTGTTACTTATTCCTTCAACAGGCCAGCATGGGGCTATCAGCTGGGGGTAGAATGGACAGACAGACACAGTCTCTGGCCTCCAGGGACTCCCGGTCCAGGGCTGTGGGACTGAACTACAGGTGCACATTAGAATCAAAGGTAGAATGTCAACAAGTCCCAAATCCTGGGCTTTACCCCAGAACCAGCTGGATTAGAACCTCCCGGGTAGGGTTCAGGCATCTGTTTTTTCCCTAAGATTTCTTCGACGATCCTGATGTTCACTCCAGGTTAGGAGTCACTGGTTTGGGTCTCCAAGGAGAAACGTAAAGAAATGAGAAGAGCGTCCCAGGCAGCATTAGAGGAGAAGAGGGAAGGGGAATCAATGAATAAGCCTGGCAACGGTTGGAGACAGAGGAACTGAGAAAGCGCAGTGCCATGAGGTGAAGGTCACTATGACCTCCCCGTGACCGAGGTGCACATGTGCATTAGCTCATTATAGTCTCTGCAATCATCACAGTCTCCATGGCCCTGAGCCTGCATCTGAAGGTCACTGTACACGTAATGATACAGCCTGGCTCCCAGCCGTGTATCCGAGAACAGGCCTGCATTTGCCAGGTCTACTGCAAAACAGTGCTGCTCCTAAAGATGACGCTTCTAAAGATGACGCTGCTCTTGCTGTCGCAAAGAGACTTTTCTTGCCTGGACTCTCCACATGAGACAGACATACAGACATAGAAGGAGCCCCAAGGCCACTTCTTTCACCAATTTAATGACATCATGCAAATGGAGAAACAGGCAGCACATCACTTAATTGTGGCAACTGACTTAAGGTACAAAAATAGCCCACGTCCTCCTGGGGACAACCTAACACCCGACAGAAGAATTTCCTTCTCCAGTGAGTATTACTGACCGGTAGAGGGTTTTCTTTGTTTTAACCAGACTGCAGAGAGGGGCAGAGTGAAAAAAGGCCACATGGGCTGAGACAGTCCCAGAATTCCCAAACCAACACAACTATCAAAAGGAGGAAAACATCCCAGAGAGGAAAGTAAAAAATCCTTCATTTCTGCTTCCATGGACTGAATTCAATATTATTTTTAAAAGAGATGCAGAATCATTTCAAGAAAATGAAGACCCTCGCCTCTGTCAGGCTATTCAGTACTTAAACTGAGGCTGCTGTAGTCAAGTGAAGCCCAAGTATTTGTGTGGCAGTTCCAAGCCTGGAGTCTTTATTACTGCTTCAGACTGTGACGTTCCGGATGCTGTACCTGGAAAAAGAGAAAGTATGCAAGGGAGACACAGAAAATAAGACACACAGAGAAAGAGACAGGCGAAGAAAGAGAGTAATTAAAAGAATGAAAGAGGTAAAATAAAAAGAAATGGCTGATAGGGAAAATAAAGACATATACACCACCCCCAAAATGATGAGCCACATTCGGCAAGTCCTCTGTCTAGAAAGAAGCTGCTCAGAGCTAGGACTGCATCTCCCTATCCTGCTGAAGAATTAGAGATGGAATTCTCTAGGATTCTGTTTTATGCTAACGGAAATTTAGCTTTCTTCCTCACTCTCGCTCTGCATTACTAACACTCCATGGTGAGGGCTGCCGCTGATAGTGCCGTCGGAGCCCAGGGCGGGTGGGGCCCTCAGGCTGGTGCGACCGCGCAGACCCAGCAGCGGGGTAGGGGGAGGCTGGCTGTGCCATGCGCCATCAGCAGCGTGACAGTTAGTGATCCAGTTAGCTGCTCCTGGCTCTCCTCGGACGTGGAGTCCAGCCTGAGATGAATATTCAGAAGTTGGTAAGAAAATGCCCCATGCTGCGTGTGGGGCTCAGGACGAGTCTTCCCAAAGTCCCCTTTCCCTCCACACACTAGCATGTGGGCCCTGTCAACTCTGCCCAGCTTCTCCCAGCTCTGAGGACTGCACTGCGGCCCAGTGTCCACTCTGACTCCCCACAGGCCTCTCACTTCATCCCCACCCCCTCCTCCAAATGTGCACCAGGGAGTGTGGGGCTGGCCCATCTGTGACAGATCAGAGGTCAGTCCGGGCCTTGGCAAAGGCGCCTCTCAGAGTGGCACTGGTGGGGCTGGCCACACAGTGGGATTTCTCTCTAATTGGAAGCCTGGTGCCCAACAGAACCCGGTGCACCGCCTGAGTGGGACAGAGCCAGCGATGACAGCCAGGCCAAGGCAAGCTGGAACATTCCGGTGCAGTGACAGCTTGAGCCATCGCAGCAGAGTCAGGCCATCCAACTCCCGGCCCCAGTGGAACAGGTGGCCGTGGAGCAGGTTTTGGGCAAACTTCAAAGAACTTCACAATTTTACAGTTTCTGATTTATAATCACAGACAAGTACTTGCTCATGTGTACATAATAGGTTTGGGGAATTTTTGTTCTTTCTCTCCTTCCACGGCCCCCCGCCCCCACTCTAATCCCACACACATACCATGAACAAATCTAGAAAAAGAAAATGGACTTAAGAAATCCACCTCTTCACAAAATTACCTACACGAAACGGCCCTGCCTGCACTCAGCACAGCTACTTGCCTGCAAACCTGGACTCGTGACCCAGTCTCATTCAGGTTGTCAAGTTTAACTTTCAAACGCACAGGATTTTAACAGAGACAACAAGAGGAATACAAGAGTCTGCTCTAGTACTGTTGAAAGCTACCGCTACTTTTAAAAACCTACTAACTGCGTTAACTTTATTCTCATTTTCTTCCACGATGCTGAAGAACATGAACAGAAAGTATATGGGTAGGACTCCTGTCCAGCAGTTATGAGTACAGGCTCTGGAGGCAGGATGGCTGGCTTCGACTCGCCCATGTACTAGCTGTGTGACTTTATCCTCTCTGTGCCTCAGTTTCCTCATCTATGAAACTGGTAGAATTGTGCCCACTGCATTCAGTTATTGTATTAAATGCAACAATCTTTATAAAATGCTAAGTGCCATGCTATTTGGATTCATTTAACAGATATAATATTGAGCATGGAGAGAAAACTATAGGTCTCTACCACCGTTTTCTCATTTACTCCTGCCCATTCTCCAGATGAGAACACTGAGGCTGAGGAACATTAGCAGTTTGCACTAGGTGAAACCATTAATAACAGAACCAGGCTTCCCAATCCTGTCTGACTGCACCCCGAGCTTGTCCACACCTCACCTGCGCTTTCTTTGCAAAGGCACAGAGACGCCTCCTATAGGTGAGACACTGCCTGCTGACCAACAGCTTTCACTTTGCCTGAGACTCAATGTCCTCTGTTCTTGGGTATTTCCTTTGATTGGTTACCTCCTGCATGCCCCCACTGGGGATCAAGCCCACAACCCAGGCATGTGCCCTTGACCGGAATTGAACTCGGGACCCTTCAGTCCGCAGGGCGACGCTCTATCCATTGAGCCAAACCGGGTAGGGCCTACCTGTCTTATTTTTAAAGGTAAAAATAATATCCTATGTGGTAATAGATACAAATACTGCAGAAAAGTTTAAAATGAAAATTCCCTTTCCTTATATGAGCCCCAGTTGTCTCCCTAGAGGTAGTTGCTATTAACAAATTCTTGTATATACTTATTGAAAAGAATTTATGCCTACCACAGCACACATATCCTTTAAAAAAATGTTTACAAATGGGATCACTTTCCATTCATGTTATCTGTAACTTGCTTTTATCCTTCCTGATAATGTACCGATACATCTTATTCTTTTAAGTGGCCACCTAATGTTATTGACCGGATGCTCCATAATGTATTTACTCCCATCCAGGGAGGACCTAATTTAGAATTTTGGGGGTGGGGTGGGGTGGGGTGGGAGTTAGGGAAGCTCCCTGAGTTAGGGACAATGCAGCTAAAAGCTGAAGGATAAGCAGGATTCAACCAGGCAGGGGATGGCATGTGCAAAGGCACTGAGGTGAGAAGCACCCTGTAACACTGAAGAAACTGAAGGCAGGCCGGTGTGGGTGGCATGTGGGGCCCAGGGCAGAGTGGCACGGGGTGAGGCAGGAGAGAGGTGCCTGGTGCCAGGTGAGGAAGATCTGTATCAACCAGCCAGGAAACACGGACCAGTGCCTATTACACACAAGACCCCTCTGAGGCACATTAGGGGAAACCACGATGGACTAAGCCAGCGGTTCTCAACCTGTGGGTCGCGACCCCTTTGGGGGTCTAACGACACTTTCACAGGGTCGCCTAAGACCATCGGAAAACACATATGTAATTACATATTGTTTTTGTGATTAATCACTATGCTTTAATTATGTTCAATTTGTAACAATGAAAATACATCCTGCATATCAGATATTTATATTACGATTCATAACAGTAGCAAAATTACAGTTATGAAGTAGCAACAAAAATAATTTTATGGTTGGGGGTCACCACAACATGAGGAACTGTATTAAAGGGTCGCGGCATTAGGGAGGTTGAGAACCACTGGACTAAGCAAAGTTGCAAAGAGGGTCTATATGTAAAAAAATAATAAATGAACAGATAAGGAAAATACACACCCCTTCTTTTATGAATCATCTCGGAATCCAACAGGCAGAATTCAGAGCTTGCTACTTTGTCTTTCCATCATTTTTCGTTCAAGGCCACAGGGTAGACCTCACTACCCTGCAGTAGGTAAAGTAAGTGATTCTGGCCCTCGGCCTGCCCCCTAGATAGTGAACTAGCTGAGGGCAAGGACCACATCCTGGTCACTTCTGCATTCCCAAGGACTGGCAAACTAAAGGACAACAGAACAAAACTGAGTCCATAGATGCCCCTCACACCTGAAAGTCACACACACGGAAGAGCCGTGTCAATCTTCTCTATACTATCCCATTACAGTGTAAGTGCTCCTGAATCCTCAAGTTGCCTAAGTGGGTTCGCTTCACAAGAATAACCAAGAGAGTTCCTTGCATACTTCCTAGATTTGACAACATCCTAGCAAAGGCTTTGCCTCCCCTCAGAGCTGCTCCTGCTGGGAAG